ATTATTACTATTATTATTTGGTCTTTTTGAGACAGGGTCTCCCTGTGCAGTTCAGGTTGGCCTTGAGCTCACTTTGTAGCCCAGGCTGGCCTTGAACGCACAATGATCCTCCTGCCTCAGCCTCCCAAGTGCTGGGATTACAGGTATGTGTCACCACATCCAGCTTTATGCACAATTTTAAACTCAGGTGGAGTGACCTGGCCCAGGACACATAGCCACCACTAGCTGACTCTGCGTTGAGCTTCTGGTGGGGCTGGGGGCTGAGGGATCCTTTGTTCTTTCTCTTCTCTGCAGAGATTCTTTTAAACATTGTTTTGTTAGTGTGGCAAACTGCCCTGCTCCCCGCGGTGCTGTGGCGCAGATGATTCCGTTTTATTCTTTAACTTGTTTTGTTTTGTCATCTCCAGGAAGTTGGCAGCTGGATCGGTCGGCCAAGGAAACAGCCGGTCTGGTGTGGTTCCCGCGGCTGCCCCGCCCTCTGGGCTGGCTGCCAGGCTGAGAACAGCTGACTCCAGAGTTCTCATTCATGTGACCACCATGGCTCCCCGTCCTGCTTCTTGTCTCCAGCCGGGGTGGGCACTTGCAGAGCCGCTTCTGTGAGGAGCAGCAGGTAGGCACCTCAGTTCTGAAAGTCCGCCCCTGGAACAGCTGGCGGGGACACCAGACAGGCAGCTAAATGAATGTGGCAGATCAGCTATCAGGCTTTCCGCTCTGGTCCTGGGCTCTTTAAGCAGTGGAGACAGAAAGCGACTGGGCTCAAGTTGTCCTATGCAGTCCCCTGTGACCCTTTCCCTCCCTTTGTCCCCTACCTCAAGGAAGGCTGCTCTGCCCTTCCTTCCTCTGTCCTTTGACCCTCTTTGCCCCTGAATAACAGACCTTTCTGCCTTTCTCTTGCTGACTTAGCATACCTAGGGGAGCGGAGAGATTAATCAGTGACAGGAAGCTGCGTCTTGTCCAGAGTGGTGACCTGTTGTGGTCGGACAAATCTTGGCGAGCCCAGCCCCAGGAGTTTCTCCTGCTTCCCGCCTGCTGCTCCTGCCATGGGGAACCTTAGGGCCTTCCTCTTCCTGCTGGGGGCCCTGGGGGCTCTCGCCGAGTTCTGTGGTGAGTAACCAGCCCCTCTCTCATTTCTCTTTCCTCCTGGGTCTCAGGGAGAGAGGACTGTCTTTCCAAGACCCTCATTATGTAGCTGGGGAAACTGAAGCCCAAGTGGGGAATTGATCTGCCCCTCTGGGCTCCCACAACAGTTTGAGTTTGTCTGGACCTCCGTGTTTGGCGCTTTGTATGGAGATTAGTTAGATGCCTGACTGTCCACTAAGGCAGTCAGACAAGATCAAGTCAGACAATAGGAGGGGATCTTGATCTCCCCCATTAGTAGGGCATGGTGGCACACTCCTGTGGTCCCAGCCCTCAGGAGGCTGAGGCAGGAAAATTACCAGGAGTTTAAGGCTGGTTTGGGCTGTATAGGTCAACCTGAACTACATAGTGAGAACTTGTCTCCAAAAAAGGAAAAGAAAAGAAAAGAAAAAGATCTCCCCCATTAATTCAGGTACGTGTTCGATTATCCATCTAACACACATTTACTGAGGCTTCTCAGTGCCTGGCCTGGTCTTAGGCTTTGGAGAAAGAACAAAGGGCAGGACCAGTTTGATCTCTGCCCTCCTAGAGTTTAAATCCTAGGGAAGAGGATGGATAAAAGAAATCAAGTTCAGCTGGGCATGGTGGCACATGCCTGTAATCCCAGCACTTGGGAGATTAAAACAAGAGTATTGTCTTCAGTTTGAGGCCAACTTGGGCTACATAGGGAGTTCAAAGCCAGCCTGAATTACTGAGCGAGGCCCCGTTTCAAAAACCCAAAAAGAAAAAAGGAAAGAAAGAAAGAAAGAGAGAGAGAGAGAGAGAGAGAGAGAGAGAGAGAGAGAGAGAGAGAGAGAGAGAAAGAAAAAGAAAGAGAGAGAGAGAGAGAGAGAGAAAGAGAAAGAAAGAAAGAAAGAAAGAAAGAAAGAAAGAAAGAAAGAAAGAAAAAGAAAGAAATCAAAAAAAAAAGAAAAAGAAAGAAATCAAGTTTACAAATTGGGTTATGTGCTGGGGATCTAGCTCAGCAGCACAAGTACCTGCCTGGTAAGTGCAAGGTCCTGAGTTCGATTTCCAGCACCAAAAAAACAAACAAAAAAACCAAACAAATTGGGTTATGGTGAGTACCATAGGAGAAGCCACCCAGGAGTAGAGTGGAAGTAGACAGGCAGGGGACCACCAGTTCTGGGAAGGCCTTGGAGGTGCCTATGGGTGCTGAGATCCAAAGGAGGAAGAGGAACCAGTGGGCCAGAGAGTGGGGACCACATTCCAGGCAGGGAGAAGCAAGTGCTCAGAGACGCTGCCGGCTTGTGTGTCCCAGGGTCGCAACTCTCAGGACTGCTGGGGCCTCTCTGTCAGTCTCAGTGCGGGGCTCAGGCTCATTTATACACCAAGACAGGCAGGAAGCAGAAGCGGGTCTTAGGGCTCCGACTGCCCACCTCTCCTCCTTGCCTCCTTTTACCCTGCACACCAGGTCTTTGGTGATCGTACGAACCCTGAGAGGCAGACGCGGACAAATGTAGGCGTCAGATAAAGAAGTTGAGGGTCAGACTGGCCAAGTGACATGCTCAAGGAGCTCCAGCTATACTAGACCTTTGGAACTTCAGGCCAGGGTCTTCTCTGGGCGCTAGAATTCTCTGGCCTGTGTTCCACAAGGGCAATCAGACCCCTCAGCCCTGAGTCCTTGATTCTTGTCCAAACAGTCCCCAAGGGAGACCAGAAATGGGCCAGTCACAGCTTCCCCTCCTGCCCACCTGGCCAGCCTGGTCCTCACCCTGACAATGAGCCCTTAAGCCTGACCTCATAAGAGTCCCCTTCCCTTGGATTCTGAAGAAACTTGACTTTGGATAGAGGTGCAGCCTGCTGCTGCTGGGTCTTTTAATTACTCCCAGCCTCCTCCACTCACTCGTAAGATGGGCTAAGAATGTTCCCCTGCCATGTACCTCCTCATTGTGGTACATGGATCCCCGGCACCTGCTTTCTCATGAAATCTCTGTGTGCTGGTGAACCTGGCAGGGATTGCTGTACCAATGCCGCAAGCAAGATAGGCTCCTCTGCTTCTGAAAGCCAGTGCCAATTAGTCCTCTGCTGGCAAGGCTGGGTGGCTCTGTGTGCAGGAGGCACCTGAGAGCAGGAGACCTTAGCGAGGCTGGAGCTTGCTTGCTGCTACTTTGTTTGTTTGTTTGTTTTGGGTTGGGTTTTTTTGGAGACAAAGTTTCACTATGTAGTTCAGCCTGGCCTTGAACTTGCAGGGATTCTCTTGCCTCAGTGCCGGGATTGCAGGTGTGCACCACTATGCCCAGTGCAAGGCCACTTTTATTATGCGTGGTGAATCTGAATCTGCCCAGCTTTTTTTTCCAAAGAGGCTAAAGTGTAAGCCTCCCTTTACATCTGCCTCCTTAGCACTTTTAACCCCAGCTGACTCATCATAGTGAAGGTTAGAACCCAGGGTGGGGACAGAGGGCTCCTTCTCCAGTTTCAGGAATGGGGAAAAGAAAAGAGGTACAGAGGAACAGATGATCAGATTGTCAGAGACAGCGCAGCAAGAGACAGAATGCTACAGAAGTGGAGACAGGAGCTGGGCATGGTGCCGAACGCCTGTAATCCCAGCACTCAGGAGGCTGAGGCAGGAGGATTGCTGTGAATTAGAGACCAGACTAGGTACATAATGAGTTCAAGGCCAGCTTGAACTGCATAGCAACACTCTGTCTCAAAAAAAAAAAAAAAAAAAAAGAAAAAGAAAAAAAAGAAAGAAAGAAAGAAAGAAAAGTGGAAACAGATATCAAGAAAAGGAAAGAAAAAGCAGTACTCCCTGGCTCCCTTTATAAACATTATCTGAAAGACCAGCCACATTTTCTAGCCTGGCCTCACACAGCAAAGCATTATTTAGGGTTTTACACCAGTAAATGGTCACCCAGTAGTAACAGATAACTGTGATTCTTGGGGAAACTGGCCTAAATGGGTGGGATCCAAACTCAGAAAGATAGGGCTGTGTTCTAGGACCCAGTCCTAGTGTCAGGAACCCCGGCAGGCAGGCAAAGCACTCTGCAGCAGTTCTTTTCCTTAGTCCTGGGGTGGGGGGATCCTGCCTGGCATTCTAGGATGTGGTGCAGTGGAGACCGCCATGGTCACTGGGAAGCTGTAGCTGGCAATGACTGAAAAGCAGTGAGACAGGAAAAGGGGCAGAAAAGTGCCAAGTGCCTCCGCACTAGTCTCCTCTAAGTGACCTTGTGCTGAGCTCAGGTCCCTTTCCCAGGGCAGGAAGACAGTAGTTAACCAGAGCTGGGAAACAACCTGAGGCTTCTGCTTCCAGAGTATTTCAGTATCCCGATGACACAGTTTGTGGTAAATTTCAGGGCACAAATGGCTGACTGTAGCTAGCCTCACAATCTCAGGCCATTTTTACTTAAACACAGAGATGGCACGGCAGGAAAAGCATCATTCTCAGATCTGCACGGAGGAAATTGCCCGGGCAGCCCTGCTGAACCAGCTCTCGGTTTAGAGTGTTTGGAAACGATGCGTCACACATGCTAGGTGGGGCTAAAGTTCTTGTCAGTGGGTAGAACATTCGTTCAGGGTACCAAAGGGCCAGAGGTTTGCAGTCAGACCAGGTTTTGGCTTTGCAGGCTTATTTTTTGTTTTTGTTTTCTGTTTTGGGTATGGGAATCGAGCTCAGGACCTCATGTTTTCCAGGCAGGTGCTGTGCCACTGAGCTACATCCCCGGCCCTGCAGCCTTGTATAAGGCACAGTGTGCCTTTGAACTTCTGCTTCCTGTTTTGTTCAAAGCAATGATGACAGGGTCTGCATTGCAGGTCCAGTGTGGGGACCAAGTGAGATGGGGTGCAGTGCCTATGGCATAGCACACGTATTAATAGCCAACCTCACTGTCTCTCCTGATGAGTGGGGAAGTAGTATCCTTTGCCTTCAGCCTACCACCTCTTCCTGCCTCATTCCAACTGCTTTTTGGGGACATCTGCTTTTCCCCTTTATTCACTGCGTTTTATTATAGCCACGTAAGTGGGATATATACAGGGTGAAGATGGGAGTAGGAGCGCCAGACATGGTGGCACGTGCCTGTAATCCCAGAACTTGGGGGGCTGAGGCAGGAGGATCGTTGTGAGTTCGAGGCCAGCCTAGGCTACAAAGTGAATGGAAGGCCAGCCTGAACTGCATAGGGAGACCCTGTCTCAAAAAGAAAAAAAAAAAAAAAGATGGGAATAGGGATATTCACTTCCTAGGGAAGGCCCAGGGAAAGCCAATTCAGTTGCTTGTTAATGGCCTGGGCTACAACCTTATATGCACTGTTTTCCTTTTTAAGTCATACCACAGTTGGATAGTCAGCTGGTGGAGAGGCTTGGCCAACGCCTCTTGCCCTGGATGGACCAGCTGTCCCGGGAGCACCTGAACCCCAGCATCTATGTGGGCCTGCGCCTCTCCAGCCTGCAGGCTGGGACCAAGGAAGACCTCTACCTGCACAGCCTCAAGCTCGATTATCAACAGTGCCTCCTGGGGTATTGTTGCATTCTCTCCTTTTTCCCTATGTTTTGCTTCACATCCTAAGGGACAGGAGACCTGGGTTCTGGTGTGGGCCTGTCACTACTTTGTTGGCAACATCAGGCAAATTTTGTCTTTTGTGGGTTTTTCGCTGTCTATAGAATGAAGGAGTTGATAGGATGAAGTCAGAGATACTAGTACAGGGCCCTTGTACTGCTACTGTATGCTCTTATACTTAAGGCAGACATCACTAATCCATAACCACACTCACCCTGAGCCAGGAAGCTGCTCCTGACTCTGTGTCCCTTCTGTGCATGAAGCAGACATCATTAATCTATGACTGTACTCTTGCACTGATCCCAGAAGTAGCACCTGACTGTGCTTCCCTTCTGTACATGAGGCAGACATCACTAATTCATAACTGCATTCTTTCATACTCAGCCCAGAAGCAGTGTCTTTCTGCTCCTTTCCAAGGAGCATTAAGGAGAGGACTGTTCTAGTGTTTGAATGAACTTTGAAGAGTCAAGAGCAACTTCCTCTCAAGGAATGGATGTAGGGTGGGGAAAGCAAAGAAAGGGAAGGGTGCAAGGATGATGCACGGCCAAAACATGAGGCAAAGCCAGGTAATTTGAATGCTAGTGCCCTCAGAATTTCTCTTTGAGTTTGATCTTTCATCTGTTTAAACATCTGTGACATGCACCTCACAAGAACATAGCTGACCACACCTTACTTTTGGAAGTTCTAGCAAAAAGTTTCCAACTATTAGCGCTTTTTCCACTTTGTGATGCCTGTGTGGGGTACCCTAAGCCAGGCTTACCAATGTGTAAACAGTTAATTGGTAACAGTTCCTAATTGACTTTGTCCTAGACCTGCCACCAGCGATGACAACGGTGACTGCCCGACCAAGCCTTCCATGGGCCAGCTGGCACTCTACATGCTTGCTCTCAGGGCCAACTGCGAGTTCGTCAGGGGCCGCAAGGGGGACAGGCTGGTCTCACAGCTCAAGTGGTTCTTGGAGGATGAGAAGAGGGCCATTGGTGAGGGGACACCATCTGCTGGGTATGGGAAGGGGCTGGGAGGGCTTACTAGGTGATATTCTTGGTGATAACTAGAACTTTGGACTTTTCCCCTCAAGCCTCTTTCCCACTCTCTATTCTACCTATCTCACACTCCACCTAGATGTTCTTGCCTGCTCCAGTAGCCATGCTTGAACCAACCTTTCCTGAACTCCACCCGACACACACTCTGTGAGCCAGCCCTGATACTCAGCTACCTAAACTAAGCTCACTATACTCACCTTCTAGGACACCTATATACCTCCTTGACTGCCTGCTCCTTAGCTTCTTTCTGGCAACTCTCTGGCCACCTGATGTTACCTGGCACAGAATAGACAGAGTGAGGCCTTTCTATACAAATCCTATCTTTTTTTTTTTTTTGGTACCGGGAATTGAACTCAGGACCTTGCCCTTGCCGGGTGGGCGCTTGTGCTGCTGAGCTATATCCCCTGCCCTATGAACCCTATCTTGTTAGTGCTGCTGAAACCCCTGAGGGGCCCCTCACTGCTTTGCTAACAGCCTGCAGCATCCCGCCTGCCTTTCTCTCCTCTCTAGGCTCTGTTCTGCTCACGCTCTCACCCATGTCTCTGTGGGCGCTGACCACACTGCCCTTTCCGCACACAAGCCAGGGTCTTCATACAGGGTCTGTCCTTACCCTTCTAGCTCAGCGCTGCTCTGCCTTTTCCTCCCGCTGTCCCCAGTGTCACTTCCCTATGGAATTCTGTGCCGATTCCCAGCTATTCAAAGACCTCTGTCATGTGGCCCAGGGACCTCAGGCCACACATTTAAGTTACAAGCGTGCTCTGGTGGGCACGAGCAAGGGCCAGCTGAGGCAGTGAAGGATCTCCAAGAAAGCGCTGCATCGAGGAGCGAAGCAATGGCATCCCGTGTGCTGGCTGCGTGCTGGGAGGGGGCAGAGGCAAGCCCTCGGGCCTGGCATAACACGACCACCCCGTGGCTCTCTCCATCCCAGGGCACAGTCACAAAGGCCATCCCCATACCAGCTACTACCAGTATGGCCTCAGCGTCCTGGCCCTGTGTGTCCACCAGAAACTGGTCCATGACAGTGTGGTGGGCAAGCTCCTGTATGCTGTGGAACACGACCACCACCTCCACCAGGACCATTTCTCTGTGGGTGAGTGAGGCAAACCCTGCTGAGGCCAGGCCAGCATTCCGCTGGCCCCCAGCCCCAGCTGAAGACCTCCACACCCTGGCCTCATGCTCAGCTTTCCCCAAGACCCCTCCTTATCAAATTTCTTAGAGGGAACTGGGGAGGCGGCTGATATGTGGGGCAGTGGCTGTGATCCTGACCCTAGGTCCATCACACACTCACTGTAGGACCTCCTGGGTAAGTCAGCTGGCCTCACCTGGAAAATGACTTCCCAGAAGCAAAGGGCTTGGCACATGCCTGGCATAGAGAAAGTTCTTCAAGCCTTCCTGTGGCTGCCCTTTGCCACAAGGGCTTAAACCCCAAGGCCCTTCCTGGCCTGGTCTGGCCCGGCCCCATGTGGGTGTCCAGCTCATCACAGGTCCTGTTCCCCGCAGACACGGTGGACATGACGGGCCTGGCCTTTGCCCGTCTGGAGCGCTCTTACTTCAACTCTGATCTGAGACCACGGATCTGGGTGCACAGTAATTCTCTCAGTACCATTTAAGCTGAGAAGCCCGAGAACTGGATTCAGGATCTGCTTCCTTACTGCATGATCTTGGGCCACTAGTTCCGTTTCTTGTCATTTGTTATTCAAGGTCTTTTCTAGGCCTGACATCCCATGAGTAAGTGTGTTCCTTGCATGGGGTGGAGCAGGATGCAGAAGGTAGAGGGGGCAGTTGCCCAGAGAATAGCAGAGGGCCCTTGCCAGCAGGGAGATTGTTTTGCCTCAGAGCCTTGTGGAAAAAAGTACTGTGGAACTGGACGTGGTGGTGCATGCCTGTAAAGCTAGCGAATTGGGAGGCAAAAGCAAGAGGATCACAAGTTCAAGGCCAGCCTTGGTAACTTAGACCATGTCTTAAAATAAAAATGAAAAGGGACTGAGGATGTAGAGCTCAGTGTGAAAGCCCTGGATTCAATTCCCACTATCACACACACGCACCAAAAAAAAAAAAAAAAAAGGCAGAAAAGAAAACCCACTGTGGATATGTGAAATCACCAGGAGAGAGTAATAGGGCTTTAAAAATCCCACGGCCAGGGAATCTCCCTATACCAATTAAATCAGACTGCATGGAGTCAGTAGTTTGTTTAAAACTCCACCAAGGTTTCCATCTACACCTAGGCTTGGGAGAGGGTGGTGAAGGATACAGTCCTCTTGGGCCTCCCCCTGTCAGCTCAGCCTCACAAGGAGTAGCGTAACCAACAAATCCAGCTTACCCAGGACTGAGAGGCTTCCTGGGATGCAGGACATTCAGCGTCCAGACTTGAACTGGTGTCCCTCACTGATCTGATGGTGTTGCCTCAACTTCTTCAAGCCTTCCTGTGGCTGCCCTCTGCCACAAGCGCTTAAACCCCAAGGCCCTTCCTGGCCTGGTCTGGCCCGGCCCCTTGTGGGTGTCCAGCTCATCACATGTCCTGTTCCCCCCCAGACACGATGGCCGTGGCGGGCCTGGCCTTTGCCTGTCTGGAGCGCTCTTACTTCAACTCTGATCTGAGACCACGGATCACCACGGCTATCGGGACAGTGCAAGAGAAGATCCTGAAGGCCCAGACCCCTGAGGGCTACTTCGGGAACGTCTACAGCACCCCACTGGCACTGCAGGTGGGAAATTGACCCCGCAGCCCTGGCCCTCCTTGGGGGGAGGGGTCACCTGAAGTGGGGTGTGGGGCGTGGGCTGGTCAGGGCCTGGAAGATCTGGCGCCCCGCTGCTGCCGGCTGACTCACCTCCTCCCTCTGCATCCCCCCTCTCACAGTTCCTAATGTCCTCCCCACTGTCTGGGGTGGAGCTGGGCCCCGCATGCCTTAAGGCAAGAGCAGCCCTGCTGGCCAACCTGCAGGATGGAGCCTTCCAGAATGCTGTCATGATTTCCCAGCTGTTGCCTGTCTTGAACCACAAGACCTACGTGGATCTCATCTTCCCAGACTGCCAAGCGCCAAGAGGTAGCCAGGCTCTTTACAATTTGCTGAGCACTCACTGATGTCTGCATGTCGCAGTGAGGGGAGGTTGCTCGGTCCTGATTTGCTGGGGCCACAGGAGTTCGTGGGTGTGTGCAGGACATAGCAGCTAAAATATGGTCATAGCTTCTGTACTGGGTGTCTAACCTACCAGGGCTGCACTGAGCAAAGAGGAACTGTCCTGGGCTGCACATAAAATATATAATATCA